TGTCCCTGTAATTATTTTATATATAGAAACCGCACAAAAAAGAAGGGCTTGAAAGAACGTATGCAAGATACACATACATTTAATAGAGATAGGATTTAAATACCAAATACTATCAGTACAAGAAGTCAAAAAACGCATCAATCAGGATGCAGACAAAGTTTATTTTGGGGTATCCTAAACATTTTTCACACTGGAGAGGGGATAATTTAGTACTGTGAAATTGAATAATAAAAAGAATCAATAATGGAATGAGTTGGGTAGTTTAGCACCAGGAGGATAAATAAAGATTTTGATTTATCATGTTTTATTAGTGATGCTGTAGATTGGGGGATGTGTCCCGTGTCCATTCAGGATGCATGGCGCTGGGACATGAACACGCTATGCGTGGGGTATGGCTCACATTGGTCCATCGCCATGTAGCGCCTCATTTGCGTCAGTTTTCTTTATCACCGCTGTTCATTTTTTTGTACAATTGCATGTCACCTGATATCGACCTGGGCACATTCTTCAACCTATTAATATATATTTTAAATATTTTTATATATTTTGATTAAAGTATTTTTTTTTTATTTTACATTCTTTATTTTTATTTTTATATTTATATTTTATTTTTATTATTATTTATTTTATTTGTAATTTCATTTATATTCAATTAATATTTTTATATTTTGTCATTCTATTTTACTTTTATATAAAATATATGATATGGGTTATTTTATATTCATTGGTTTGATTCACCACAGATTTAAATTAATGAGTTTTTTTAAAATTTATATTATTTAAATTTGTCATAATAATTTGTTAAACATTGTATATTTTTTAAATATTCATTTGCGCTATGGGTCATTCATAAAGTGATGGATTCTTAGTCCTCGAGCTGACTGCGGAGCAGTGACGTTTAGGTACCCCTCTCCGGGATGGGCTTTAGTGTTGACAGTAATATATTAACAATAACCACATGTCTATAGGAAAATGGCTGCCCCCATTAGATAGCCAACAAAATGGCGGAGCCGTGCTTTATAAGCCGGGCCAGCTCACGAGTGATTGACCAATCAAATCCCCCTGATGAAGCCACGTGATTTAGTGCGTAACGCGTAGGGGTGGGACTGTTTCACGTCACTCGGAGGGAGTCAGTCCGGCCATCGGACCACGAGCGCACAGCTCCAACAGTCCAGCGGAGGTCTGAGACAGCTGTACTACCACTATACGATTTATGTGAGTGCCACCTGTCAGCTACTCATTAAAGCTTTTAAAACGATAAAGCACCATGTCAGGATTTTTCTTATATATGGAGAACCGCATGGATAAAAGAAGACATTGGAGTGGCACCCAGTGAGAGGATTATATTTTTCCACAGCACATGTCGCATTATGGTTATCTTATATAAACAGGAGTTCCTATACAAGTAGGTTCCAAAGGAGGTGAACCGCAAGCTTTAATAGCCTAATTGCAGGCTATCTATGAGGTGAGCGCACATCTTCACTTGAGGGAGGAGGCACAAGCAGTCACCTATTTAAAGATATTGAAGATTTTTCAGCACAAAGTCACTAATTTTTCTGTGGGACATTATTATTATACATATTATATTATGATTATTTAGTAATTTTTCACTGTTTTTTGAATTTTTCTGATGAGAGTGGATTTCAATAGATTCACAAATAGTCATCTATGTAAGTATCATATACACCATTTTTTATTGCTTAGTTATATAGATTGGAAGGTTGTGAGCGCAATACTACATTTTTATATTCACGCTTTGTCACATTGGTAGTTATGTGCTAGAAGTTTGCGATCCAACAATAGGAATTTTATTACTTGGCTCGCAAGTTTTTCAAATAAATTGAGTATATAATATTTGTTTTTTTATTTCTTCATTTAACCACTTCCCATCCGGCCGTTGTATATAAACAGCCGGACGGTGGCAGTGCAGGGGTGGGTGGCCATTTATAAATGGCCTCCCCGCCCCCTGCTTGTGTGCGCTCCCTCTGGGAGCGCACAGCACGGCGATCCGGTGCCCACTGTGTCCTCTGACCAGACACGTGTGAAGTCTGTGAATGATCACAGAGGTCACATGGTACAAGGCTTTTCACAACAGCCTTGTACCACGTGACAAGCTGTGACCAATCACAGTTCACACAGTATTTCTCAATGGCTGCAAGAATGCAGTCAGAGAGAAGGAGAAATGATTGCTTTTACAGCCTTTATGGGTGTAAAAGCAATCAGTGTAAAAAAAAAAAAAACAAAAAATCTTCATAACCCCCCACAAGTACAGTGTAACCATGGTGACACTGTACTGCTAGGGTGACAGTATGTAAAAAAAAACCATAAATAATAATATTAAAAAAAAATAAAAATGTAAAAAAAATTATAATTTTTGGTTATAAATTAATTTTGGTTATCTTTATTTTTACTAAAAAGATAACTGAATAAAGATTTATGAAGAAAGATTTTTTTTTGCAAAAAAACACTTTTTTTCAAAATTTTTGACTTTTTCATTTATATAGCAAAAAAAATAAAAATCCGAGTGGTGAATAAATACCACCAAATTAAATTTTTATCTGTCTCAAAAAAATGGTAAAAATTCATATGGGTACAGTGTTGCATGACCGCCGCAACTGTCATTCAAAGTGTGATAGCGCTGAAAGCTGAAAATTGGCCTGGACAGGAAGGGGGTAAAAGTGTCCGGACTTGAAGTGGTTAAAAAAACTTGCTATACCTTAGACCGGGTGTCGGCAACCCGCGGCTCCGGAGCCACATGCGGCTCTTTTTCACCTTTCCTGCGGCTCCGGAGCACACTGCCCACCAGGTGACAGGCAATAGGGTCGGCAAGCCGCGGCTCTTTTAATGCAGCTCTTCTATGTGCCGGGCGCCCGCTCCCCTCCCCTCCTCCAAACATTGGCTGTCAGGATGTAGGCGGGGCAGCGTGACGAACTCCTCTCCTCTCACAGTCCGCCCTGAAGACCAGAACGGCGCGGGAACACAGCTAGAGGAACGCGCGGAGCAAAGGTAAGTGAATTGACACAGGGGGGTGAATTACTATAGGGGGGATGAATTACTATGGGGGATGAATTACTATATGGGGGATGAATTACTATGGGGGATGAATTACTATATGGGGGATGTATTACTATATGGGGGATGAATTACTATATGGGGATGAAATACTATAGGGGGGATGAAATACTATAGGGGGGATGAATTACTATATGGGGGATGAATTACTATATGGGGGATGAATTACTATGGGGGATGTATTACTATATGGGGGATGAATTACTATATGGGGGATGAATTACTATATGGGGGGATGAATTACTATGGGGGATGAATTAATTACTATATGGGGGATGAATTACTATGGGGGATGAATTACTATATGGGGGATGAATTACTATATGGGGGATGAATTACTATGGGGGATGAATTACTATATGGGGGATGAATTACTATATGGGGGATGAATTACTATGGGGGATGAATTACTATGGGGGATGAATTACTATAGGGGGGATGAATTACTATAGGGGGGATGAATTACTATATGGGGGATGAATTACTATATGGGGGATGAATTACTATAGGGGGGATGAATTGCTATATGGGGGATGAATTACTATGGGGGGATGAATTACTATATGGGGGATGAATTACTATGGGGGATGAATTACTATATGGGGGATGTATTTTCAGTTTTAAAAATGTTTCTCTCAAAATAAATTTCAATCGTGGTTTTGGCGAGATTTGGCTCAGTTGAAAAAAAAGGTTGCCCACCACTGACCTAAGGCTATGATTGTGATTATGACGATACACTGTGGCCCTGGTTAACCCTTTGCTTACTGGGCCCTTAAACCCCCTTCATGACCAGAGCGCTTTTCGCAATATATGCAGTGTCGGATTTGTTTTAAATGTTGCAATGGTTTTGCGGCTCCCAGTCTTTTTTTCCCTCTCGGAAACGGGTCCAAGTGGCTCTTTATGTCTTAAAGGTTGCAGACCCCTGCCTTAGACTGTCTACTTTCCAAAAAGGGATAATTTGGGGGATATTTGTACTGTCCTGGCATTTTTGGGTCTCAAGAAATGAGTACATCAGGATTGATAGATTTTCAGATTTATACCATAGTTTGTGGACTCTAAAACTTTCCTACAGACTAAATAATATACACTGATTTTGGCTATTTTCACCAAAGACATTTAACAGAATACATTTTGGCCTACATTTATTAAGACAGATTATTTATTTGCAATTTTATAACAGAAACTAAAAAAAAAACCAGGTTTCTTTTCAAAATTTTTAGTCTTTTGTTATTTATTTAGCAAAAAATACAAAAAACTCAGTGGTGATTAAATGCCACCAAAAGAAAGCTCTATTTGTGTAAACAAAATGGTAAACATTTCATTTTGTTCCCTGTGGTTTCCTCCGGGTACTCCAGTTTCCTCCCACTCCAAAGACATGCTGGTAGGTGAATTGGCTCCTGTCTAAATTGTCCCTAGTATGTGTATGTATGAATGTAAGTTAGGGACCTTAGATTGTACACCCCTTGAGGGTCAGGGACTGATGTGAATGTGCATTATATATGTAAAGCGCTGCATAAATTGACGGTGCTATATAAGTACCTGAAATAAATAAATAAATATTGTTACACTGTTGCATGACTGCGCCATTGTCATTCAAAGTGCAATAGTGCTGAAAGCTGAAAATTGGCCTGGGTAGAAAGGGGATGAAAGTGCCTGGTACTGAAGTGGTTAAACTAATGCCACTGACACAAGCTCAAAGCTCTTTGCCATAGGCCCTTTCTCAAATCACAAAAAAAGTTACCATACAAGCTCCCTCTAGTCAGGCCTAGCAACCACTTCTAATCCATTTCAGCGCTGTTACCATTGTTTCCTACAGTATTTATGTGAAGGAATACATACTTTGGTAGCTGTCTAGGGTCCACAAACAACTACCCACTCAGTGCCAAATTATTTGATCACACATCAGAAATAAAATTATAAGCACTTACTTCTGTAGGAAGGTAAGATAGAAAGGGGATATCCATCTTCTCACACTGAATTGTAAAGTCTTTGTACAGATTATCAAGTGATTTCTTAGGGTAGAAGATTGTGGGTTCATAATCCTAGAATAGAATAAGGGTTTAATCAATACTTAAAAAAAAAATAAAATAATTTTATATATATATATATATATATATATATATATATATATATATATAATAAAACACTACCCCCTTAGGAGTCACTGAAGTTTTGGGTTCCCCTACAGTGACTTGAAAGAGTATTCATACCCCTTGAAATTTTCCACATTTTGCAATTTACAACCAAAAGCGTAAATGTATCTTATTGGGATTTTATGTGATAGACAACACAAAGTGGCACATAATTCTGAAGTGGAAGGAAAATTATAAATGTTTTCCAAATTTTTTTTAGAAATAAATATCTGAAAAGTGTGGCATGCATTTGTATTCAGCCCCCTTTACTCTGATACCCTTAATCTAGTGGAATCAATTGCCTTCAGAAGTCACCTAATTAGTAAATAGAGTCCACCTGTGTGTAATTTAATCTCAGTATAAATACAGCTGTTCTGTGAAGCCCTCAGAGGTTTGTAAGAGAACATTAGTGAACAAACAGCATCATGAAGGCCAAGGAACACACCAGACAGGTCAGGAATAAAGTTTTGGAGAGGTTTAAAGCAGGTTTAGGTTGTGAAAAAATATCCCAAGCTTTGAACATCTCACGGAGCACTGTTCAATCCATCATTCGAAAATGGAAAGAGTATGGCACAACTGCAAACCTACCACAGCTTGGCTGTCCACCTAAACTGACAGGCTGGCAAGGAGACCATTAATCAGAGAAGCTGCCAACAGGCCCATGGTAACTCTGGAGGAGCTGCAGAGATCCACAGCTCAGGTGGGAGAATCTTTCCACAGGACAAACTATTAGTCGTGCACTCGACAATTCTGGCCTTTATGGAAGAGTGGCAAGAAGAAAGCCATTGTTGAAAGAAAGCCATAAGAAGCCCCATTTGCAGTTTTGAAAGAAGCCATGTGGGGAATACAGCAAATGTGTGGAAGAAGGTGCTCTGGTCAGATCAGACCAAAATTTAACTTTTTGGCAAAAACACTAGGTGTGGCAGAAAACTAACACTGCACATCACCCTGAACACCCCATCCCCACCGTGAAACATGGTGGTGGCAGCATCGTGCTGTGGGGATGCTTTTCTTCAGCAGGGGCAGGGAAGCCGGTCAGAGTTGCTGGGAAGATGGATGGAGCCAAATACAGGGCAATCTTAGAAGAAAACCTTCTAGAGTCTGCAAAAGACTTGAGACTGGGGCGGAGGTTCAGCAGGACAACGACCCTAAACATACAGCCAGAGCTACAATGGAATGGTATAAATAAAAATATATTCATGTGTTAGAATGGCCCAGTCAAAGTCCAGACCTAAATCAAATTGAGAATCTGTGGCAAGACTTGAAAATTTCTGTTCTCAGACGCTCTCCATCCAATCTGACAGAGCTTGAGCTGTTTTGCAAAGAAGAATGGGTAAAAATGTCCCTCTCTAGATGTGCAAAGCTGGTAAAGACATCCCCAAAAAGACTTGCAGCTGTAATTGCAGTGAAAGGTGGTTCTACAAAGTATTGACTCAGGGGGGCTGAATACAAATGCAAATGCACGCCACACTTTTCAGATATTTATTTGTAAAAAATTCTGAAAACCATTTATCATTTTCCTTCCACTTCACAATTATGTGCCATTTTGTGTTGGACTATCACATAAAATCCCAATAAAATACATTTACGTTTTTGGTTGTAACATGACAAAATGTGGAAACTGTCAAGGGGTATGAATACTTTTTCAAGACACTGTATAGTCCTGCACAGTCTGGCAACTCGCATTTTTCACAGACTTGCAGTCCTTGAGCTTGGTCATGTCTTGGTAGATTTGCAGTTGTGTCATACTCCATCCATTTTCGGATGATGGATTGAACAGTGCTGTGTGAGATGTTCAAAGCTTGGAATATTTTTTCACATCCTAACCCTGCTTTAAACTTCTCCACAACTTCTCCACACCTGCCTGGTGTGTTCCTTGGCCTTCATAATGCTGTTTGTTCACTAATGTTCTCTAACAAACCTCTGAGGGCTTCACAGAACAGCTGTATTTATACTGAGATTAAATCAGGTGGACTGTATTTACTAATTAGGTGACTTCTGAAGGCAATTGGTTCCCCTAGATATTAGTTAAGGGTATCAGAGTAAAGGAGCTGAATACAAATGCACGCCACACTTTTCAAATATTTATTTGTAAAAAATTCTGAAAACCATTTATTATTTTTCTTCCACTTCAGAATTATGTGTAATTTTGTGTTGGTCTATCACATAAAATCCCAATTATATACATTTACGTTTTTGGTTGTAACATGACAAAATGTGGAAAATTTCAAGGGGTATGAATATGTTTTGAAGGCATTGTATGGTCCCGCACAGTCAGGCAACTCGCATTTTTCACCGACTTGCATTCTGGAGACTGTAAACAGTCCTTGAGCTTGTTTTTTAGTTTTATTAGGGGTATTTAACTTGGGGTTAAGGGGTTTATGGGATGTCCAAGGGAACTGCAACTGATTACAACTCCTTAACAACTATGCACAAGTACACAGCAAAAAATAGATTTCTGAATCTTCTCCTCAGCCAGCTGTACTGGGTGAATCCCTAAGCAACAGGAGCCAAAGCTGCCACTTTAAAGGTAACAGTCCCAGGTGTAGAGCTAGTCAGGTTTCCCACCAGAATGCCCTCTCCCCTTGTCTGGCCCAGGTGGTTTAGGATTACTCCCTCATTCCTTTCCTGTGAGCTGTTTGTGGTGGTGGCTGCCTTCAGGCCTTCTGCTGGGCTGGCTCCACAGGTGGTCCTCCCTCTGGGGACCAGTGGGACTGAGTGATCCTCCTTTCCAAGTCCCAGCCTGCAGGTAGGCCCCCTCCCAGTCTCCTGCATCTTAGCCTCTCACTTCTTCTTCCACCCAAACTCTCCTGCCTCTGAGCAGGCTCAGTCACTCTTAATGGCTATCCTGACCCCATGCCAAGCCTCCTGCCTGGGGATTGGCCAGGACCCCCTAAGAGTGCAGACCAGCTCCTCCTCAACCCCCGACTTTTCCAAGTCTCTAGATCAGGGGGGCGGTGTCAGTGAGCTGATCTGCAAAACCTCTCAGCCCTGATCCAAATTTGACCATGCTGACTATTTCTCCAGGCTGCCACTTAGCCTTTATAACTAGGAATTAGCCACTAGTGTATATATATATACACACACACACTGCTCAAAAAAATTAAAGGAACACTTTTTAAATCAGAGTCGAAGGTCAATTAAACTCCTGGAATATTGATCTGGTCAGTTCAGTAGCAGAGGGGGTTGTTAATCAATTCCAGCTGTACTAGATGGGCAACAATGAGATGACCCCCAAAACAGGAATGGTTTTACAGGTGGAGGCCACTGACATTGTTTTCCCTACTCATCTTTTCTGTTTTTCACTAGTTTTGCATTTGGCTAGGGTCATGAGCATGGAGGAGATTCCAGGAGACAGGTAGTTACTCTAGGAGAGCTGGACAGGGCTGTAGAAGGTCCTTAACCCATCAGCAGGACTGGTATCTGCTCCTTTGTGCAAGGAGGAACAGGATGAGCACTGCCCTACAAAATGACCTCCAGCAGGCCACTGGTGTGATTTGTTTGACCAAACATTCAGAAACAGACTTCATAAGGGTAGCCTGAGGGCCTGACGTCCTCTAGTGGGGAAAGCATATCCATGGAGGGATGCACAGACTTCTACAGGCTACACAATGGCACCCTGACTGCTATTAGGTATCGGGATGAAATCCTTGGACCCATTGTCAGACCCTACGCTGGTGCAGTGGGTCCTGGGTTCCTCCTGGTGCACGACAATACCCGGCCTCATGTGGCGAGAGTATGCAGGCAGTTCCTGGAGGATGAAGGAATTGATACCATTGAATGGCACCCACGCTCGCCTGACCTAAATCCAATAGAACACCTCTGGGATATCATGTTTTGGTCCATCTTACGCCCCCAGGTTGCACCTCAGACTGTCCAGGAGCTCAGTGATTCCCTGGTCCAGATCTGGGAGGAAATACCCCAGGACACCATCCGTCGTCTCATTAGGAGCATGCGCCGACGTTGTCAGGCATGCATACAAGTACGTGGGGCAGTACAAACTACTGAGTACCATTTTGCACAGTGTCATTGGTGCTAAAGGGGACAATACATAATAAGAACTAAGGGTATGGAGACTTTTAAACAGGGGTCATTTCATTTGTTTACTTGTTGCCATGTTTTGTTTTATGATTGTGCATAAAATGGTACATACTGTTATCAATTCTCCAAGGGTATGTAAACGTTTGAGCACAACTGTATGTTGTTTATAACAAAATACTTTAAATTCAACAAAGGTTGATAATTTCATGCAGTTCAATGGATGGCTAACTCAGTCAAAGCAAGAAGAGAGTGATATTACATGGTGGAACATTAGTGTAAAGTAAAGATAGACAGCCATAAGAGATCAACTGTTATGTGCCCAAACAACATATCTGGCAATTTATCCAGGCAAAAATATCTTATTGGTTCCCAAACCCTCTGTTTACATTTTGCTGTGTTTAACCACTTGGCAACTGCATCCTGTAGCTTTACTGCGCAAAAATCATGTGTGTATATATACGTGATCCACGCTCCTGCTGTGCCCGGCAGTGCTATGATTCAGTACAACACCGATCACTCACTAGATCCAAACCAGTGATGTTGACCTGAACCTGTTGATCGGTCGTACTGAATCAGAGGTCTTCCTGTGCCTGTGTTTACATTACCTAGGCACAGGAAATGATGCAAACTTCTCTCCCTGGAGCTCATTCCATTCCAGAGAGAGAAGAAAGCAGATCCAAAGCAGTCAAAACAGCACACTGACACAGTGAAAGCACAACTAGGTCACATTTAACCCCCTGGTCATCCCCCAGTTAACCCTTTCACTGTCCTGTCACCAGTGTCATTAGATTTTTTTTTACTGGTCACTGTATTAGGGTCACAGGTGACTTCAGATAGCGTTAGCATCAATTATCGCCAATCCCAGTTAG